CCGAATGCCTTCAGAGCAAGTTTGTCTGGCTTGAGTTATGGGGATCAAACCACAGCAACCTGAGCCTGACTGCTTTGTTGAAGCAGCTACTTAAAGAACTGAGCTAAGGGGCAGGCCTCCAGGTTCTTTATATTTTACAAAAGTGAATGTTATACTGTATTACTGCATTCTCCTTTTTCTTGATACCAGGATTTGGGGTCGTGCTCTTGCCAGGCAGGCATGCCGCTAAGCTACATCTCCAGGCTTACTCATTATTATCATTCAGTCTCAAAGACTTTCTATTTTCCTTGAAATTTCTTGATTCATGGATTCTTTAACAATACAGTGTTTCTTTTTTTTTTCTTTTCTTTTTTTTTTTTGGTGGAACCGGGGATTGAACTCAGGCCCTTGCACTTGGCAGGGAAGTGCTTATTCCACTGAGCCATCTCCCCAGCCCCCACAGTATTTCTTAATTTTCAATTAAACTTGCAACATAATAACACTAGTCAACAAAAAAATACCACATAGGATTTACTAGTCACTCAAATCTGATCTAATCTGGCTTCTCATATCCTGCAGGCATAATGTACTTGCCAGAAGACTCAGTTGGTGTAAACTTACAGTACTGTGAAAGAGCTTAGCACTAAGTCAGCTTCTCAAGTCGGAAAGTTGTTCCTTTGGTAAAATCATCTTTCACTTGTGAGCCTGAGATAGGAGTTCTGCCAGGAATTCAAGGCTAGTCTGGACTACGCAGTGAATTCAAGATCAGCCTAAACCATACAGCAAACCCCAGACTCTAAATAAATAAATAAATAAATAATCATTCAGATCAACAGTTAAACCAGGCATGGTGACACATACCTGTAATCCTAGCATTTGGGAGGCTGAGACAGAAGGATCACCGCAAATTCTGTGATAGTACATTCAAGACCAATCTAAACTACATAGTGAGATACTGCCTCAAAAAAATCAAATTAAGGGCAGGGGAAATGGCTCAGTGGAATAAGTGCTTCCCTGGCAAGCCCAAGGGCCTGAGTTCAATCCCCGGTTCTGCCAAAAAAAAAAAAAAAAAAAATCAAATTAAAACCAGTTCAACCAAATGCGGTGGAAAGTACCTGTAATTCCAGTACAAGGGAAGCTTTGCTATTCAAAAATCAGTTTTCCACCCTGCCAAAACTGGGTATAAACTTGGGGTCTTCTAACTGAGCTATATCCTAAGACATTTTGTTGTTTTTTTTTTGATACAGAAATTTTTTATTAGGGCTGGAGAGATGGCTCAGTGGTCTAAAGCACCTACTTGGAACAAGCTTGGCAAAGCACAGGGACCGCAGTTCGATCCCCCAGCACCACGTCAGCCAACCCCGCCCCCTGGTGGGCTGAGCTGGCCACACACACACACACACAATAAATAAATGTTTAAAAAAAAAATTAAAGGGGCTGGAGAGATGGCTCTGTGGTCTAAAGCACCTACTTGGAACAAGCTTGGCAGAGCACAGGGACCGCGGTTCAATCCTCCAGCACCACATGCCAGCCA